TGCATGGTGTCCCCAAGAACGTTGTGACCGACCGCGGATCGCAATTTGCCAGCAGATTTTGGGGCACCCTGGGTGATCTGTTAGGCATGCGTGTTAACCTGAGCACCGCCTATCACCCACAGACTGATGGACAGACAGAACGTACGAATCGCACTCTTGGCGATATGTTGCGCAATTATGCCGGACGTACGCCTTCTGTCTGGGACACATATCTAACTGCTGCTGAATTCGCGATTAATAATGCTGTGAATCGCGCGACTGGCAAAAGTCCGTTTTTCCTGATACAACCCTGCCTTGCCTGTTTGGCGGGAGTTGGACGTCAACTTGCCTGCAGCAAAGACGTTTGCCAAGTCCTTTGTGTCCCGACTGACTGATGCTAAATCTTGCCTTGAAGCTGCACAGCAACGTACGGCGGACTACTTTAACAAATCCCGACGTGCCATCACCTTCTCGCAGGGCCAGTTGGTGATGCTGAGCACTAAGAACCTGAGGTCCCTAGCGGATGGTTCTCGTAAGCTTTTACCTCGTTGGGTGGGACCATTTCCTGTCGTTCGCATGGTTGGGTCTACTGCAGTCGAGCTGCAACTACCACCTGACATGCGCATCCATCCCACATTCCATGTCTCTCTAGTCCGACCTTTCCGTACTACTGACCCTGCTGCTGCGCTTCAGCCAAAACCTGCTCCTACTGTCACGGAGCCAGGACCAGTTACTTGGCTTTCAGGCAAGCAGACATTTTACGCGGTTGAACGGATACTGGATTACCGTTCCCGAAAAGTATGCAGAAACCGCCGCCGTAAGCGCACTGTGCACGAGTATCTTGTCAAATGGGTTGGGTACTCGGCTGAGCACAACAGTTGGGAACCAGAAGCTAACTTTACCCCTGACCTAAAACCTCTGCTGGAAGAAGCACGGCAACGAGCACGGGCAAGGTAAGATTTGCGGGTTAAAGGTAAGTGTTTTAACTCCCGCGCGTTTTGGCCCGGTTCTGGTCTGCCAGTTTCTTGCCATGCATCGAGGACGCTGCATCTAGAGGGGGGATAGTTGTTGTATTCCGCTTCTTAAATCTGGGTCCAAACTGATACATTCTTCTGTCTAATTTTTCCTTTCTCGCTCGGCGCGGTTACTGGACAAGTTCGCTGGAACTAACTGAATTCCAACTGCCTATTTTGCCGCTTTTCTGTCAGATCTTTATGGCTCCGACCTCTGGGTCAGACGGCGAGCGGGAAGCTGTCATGGATGCCAACAAGTAAACGCCGCCTCAGGCGGAAGTCCATACTTGCAGAAGTATGGGCGGGGGTCGTAGCACAGGCTACGACTGGGACGCTGGTCCCTGGCTCGCGGAGCCCCGTCATCGATTGGAAGCATGGATCAACGGTACGCAATTCCGGACTGGACCGCGCCTTTTCGGAATTGGCTGTACGATTCATGGGATGGCTGCATCCTCCGCTATTTAAGCGGGCGAAACTCTTCCAAATCGGTGTCTTCCGACGCCACCATTCCAGTTGTGGTTTAGTAAGATACAACAGTGGCCCTCCATCTTATGGACGGTGTAGGACGTGATAAATCAACTTGCGAGCTGACCAGGAACTAAGTTGAGGCGCCGTTGATCCGCTAGATTTGGTTAGATGCTGGTGGTGAGTTGCTGAACCCAACGAATACATTCTGAAGTCGGATGGGGTGAATGGATTAGTGTGCCCCTCGAGAGCTCTCGCAGGGGAAAGCAGGGAACTGCCTCGGGAAAGGGGGCCGCTGGTGAAGCTATACCACCCTGTAACAACACACATAAATTTTCTCCTAGCGGCCATGGAGGCGATGGGGGCAGGGCCACAGCTGTGTGGGTGGGTACGTCTGTTACTGAGCAAAACCCGAGCCCGGGCAATGGTCAACGGGTACAAGTCCAGGTTGGTAGACATGGAGGCTGGCATCTGACAGGGCTGCCCCCTGGCGCCTCTGCTATACCTCTTGGTCGCCCAAGCTGTCCAATGCTGGCTCCGGAGCCAGGAGGTGGGAATTAAGCTGCAACCGTCCGACCCAAGTCCCGTCACTGCATGCCAGTATGCAGATGACACGCGCGGAATCAGTCCCCTCCTTCCTACAGGCCATGGAAACCTTTGCCCGGGTATACGGCCTGCGACTCAACCTGGAGAAAGTGGAACTGCTATGGATTGGCCAGCAGCGACAGCAACAACAGCAGCAGGCGCCAGCAGCAGGATCCCAGCTAACAGGCCCCCAGCATGAGACAATCGGAGGTCTTAATGTGGTAACCACTGCTACTGCCCTGAACCTGCCGATAGACAACCAGGTGACCCCGCCACAGCCGGACTGGACGAAGAGGATGGGAAGGCCAAACGGTGGATGCAGCGTCTGTCCCGCTTCCCGCTGTCAGCATTTGTTAGGGCAATGGCGGCGTCGGCGTATGGCTTGCAGACAGTCACCTGGCACATGGAGCATGGCGGACTGGCCCCAGACCGCATGCTGGACGAGATAGAACGACTCACGGCTCGCCTGGTCGACTGCCAACAAGGCCCGGATGATCCTGGCCGACGCTTGACTGGCGTGCCCAAAGAACTCCTGAACGGTCACCCATCAGTAGGAGGTTTTGGTCTGCTGCCCCTCCGGCAACACATCCAAGCCCGGCATGCGGTATGGGCTGCTCGTTTTGTCATCACAACCCTAGGGCTGCGGAACAGGCAACACGAGAACAGATACAGGCGCAACAGACACAGATATGCAGGTGGGCGGAGGTATCCACCCCTGGGTCCGCACGCTTTCCGCCTACCTCCTACTCACAAACCCCGCTTTCCAGCCATGGGCCCTGACAACCGTGAACCCAACTGGGCCCTGGCTTGGGACTAGTGACCTGCCGAAGGATATCAGCCGGATTGTGGGAGCCCTGGGGCACTTGCCGCCACCAGAGGACATCGGGACCAACCCACTGACACCCGGTGACTGGTGCTGGACGACTGCATTATGGGGAAATCTGCTATTCCCCAATGCTGGAGGGACTGACCCGACGGACCGGGGCCGCCGCCCCGGCCTGGAATACCAATACCTAGGGCTTGCCACCTGCAGGAAACTACAGACAGTAGGGGACCTGGTGCGGGTTTGGACCCTGGCAGAGAGCAGCGGGCTGGCAACCCTCCCTAGGACGGTATGGCTGGAGTGGGCCCGGACTCACCTCGACCCGCTTTCCCCGATCTTCACGCGGGATAAACCCGTGATCCGGGCAGCCCTCATCATAAACCCGGCCTGGCTTGAAGCTGCTAGAACCGTTGAGCCCCGGCGACAGCAGCAGCAACAGCAGCAGCAGGAACAGCAGCGGGGGCTAACGGATCCAATGGCAGCGGCAATGGATGAGGAGGAGGCTGCTATACCGTCACCAGCACCCACTGCTGACCAGCACGCAAGCAATGGGCATGATTTCTGGGCGAATTGGGTGGCGTATACCTGGGATGACGGAAGCCATCCCACTGGCACGCCTCACTGTTCACCTGGCGACACAGCTGCAATGTGGGCCTATGGTGGAGAGGAAAAGACGCCTGGTGGCTGAATTTGTGCTGAGGGCCCGTCGGAAATCAGTCTATTCAGGGCGACCCAGGCCCGCTTATGGTCCGGGGTACGATGGGAGAATGAGAATAAGGAGACGTTATGGCAAGCTCGCGGTGGATGGCGTTCCCCTACCAGGCAACAGCACCTAGCCCGCATGACTCCAATTACGCTGTGGATGTGGCGGATTCAGTGGAGCAGCTGGTCAGCCATGCTCGCCACGCATGCATCACTTTTGGGAATGCCCGGTGGCGCAGGCGGTGAGGGCACAGATCGACCGGCATCTACAGTCTTCTCAGGAAACGGCGGTAGGGGGAGTCACCCGAAAACAAGTCTGGCTAGTACCAGTGTTTTTGTTTTGGAATATATTACTTTCTCGGAATAGATGGGGGTTTATGTTTTTATGTTTTACGTTTACAAGCTTCAAGCTTGTACGGTCCAGACGAGCCAAAAGGCTCATGAACCGCCAGGCTGGAAACAAGAAATCAAAAAAGAAAAATGCCAATACCCAACAATAACAGATGGGGGTCTGAGCCTGGAAAAAATGGAATCGTTGGGTCAGTTGGCCGTACTGGTTCATTACTTCGGCCATAAGTCGCCCCAAATGCCTTCTGCACATATAAAGCTGACCAATTGGAGCTTATACACTATTTATATATAAGATATTTGATGGTATCACCATAGACGGCCCGTTGTTGCATTCAACTTAGGTCAACGGGGCATTCGTTCATCCTTGACCAAAGCAAACTCCGCAGACGCAATGCCCCAAACAATTAGAAGAAGAATTAGATAATACAGAAGATAAGGATAGGCATGCCGCGGTTCCTGAAGACACCGTAGTCGGGCCTCCTTGCGCTCTTGAAGTCAGTGAAGCCAGCTGGCTGCAGCGATTTGAGCGAAGTTGAGGATCCCCCGGCGAAGCGGCCACACACAGCTGCAGCAATCAGCAACTCAGATGCTGATCAGCTTGATTCTGACGAGGAAGGGCCACCACCCCAAGATGTCGCCACGGCACCACTGCCACCTTCAAGGGCGGGTGCTTCGTAGCACACGCCGCTGGTGATTCAAAAGCAGGCGCGGCACCAGCAGACACAGCGTGTGCTGAAAGGCCAAAGCGATGGGAGCTGGCGGGAGAACGAGGGAGTGTGTCGCTTCCAGGCGCACTGGACAGCTTTGTTCGAATGGGCTGAGTGTGTTGCACCGGATATGGAGGCTGGCGAGGTGCACGACCGTGTCCGGTGCGGTCCCTGCTCCCACAGCCGGCGGCGGGACGTCACGATGGATGCCAGGCAGGCCACGCTAAAAAGCCACGAGCTCTCCAAAAAACTGACAGTTTTCTAAGCGAAGCGTTGAAAACTAAGGTTTTCTGCGAATATGGAGTGTCTTTGCCGTATGGTGTACGAGCCAGTGTGGCTCTTGTGTCGCGGCACGCGACAGTGTTGGCTAATTCGGGTTGTTCGTAGCTACGTTTGGGTGCTGCCGTGAAGCGGTTGGTCTGTAGGCCTTGGTGATCCGCTTCATGGTAGTGTGCCCTCAATTACAACGTCTGATTCTGACAGCGAGACTTCGGTCAGCTACAACACGATGTACACTGAACTAAAAGCGCGACTCATCGCACTTAAGGAAGATAAAGATGTCAAGGCTGCGCAGGAGCGTCGTGCCGCTGACCCGGGCGTAATTTTGAACAAGCAGCAGCTGGCTGCCATGGACCAGCTGAACGCCGTGAAGCTGCAGCTGACAACCATTAAGAAGCTGATGGACACGAAGCCTGACGTGCAGGCGGTCGACGGTCCACCGGTGAAGTGGGCCCGTGTCGCCCTTGAGGATTTCAAATGTGACTTCGGCGCCAGCGAGGGCAAAGCGAACAAGTCTCTCAGTGGACAGCGCGCACATATCGAGAAATGCTACAATGCGGTAATGGACATTGAGGACGCGTGGTGCAACGTCCTCGCGGCTCGGCCCGGTGAGGAACGCTTCAGGAACATCGAGGCCATGGAGACTGCCATCACCGACGGCAAGGCCGTGTTCCGGGGGGTCGTGAAGGAGCTGGTCGTTGCATACAACCACGGCTGGGAAGTCGTGCATGAGATGCATGGCATGGTGTACACGGAGACGGAGGAGGAGTGCAAGGCGCTGAAGCAGGCCGTGAAGGTGGTGGCGGGCAAGAAGCCCAAGCAGGCCAAACCCGCGAGCGTGCTGGCCGGCTCTGGTGTGGGGGCCGGGGTGAAGCCGGCGGCGGCGGCGGTTGTCTGTTTCAAGTGCAATAAGCCTGGGCACTTCGCCAAAGAGTGCAAGGAGAAGTAACGGGGTGTAGTGTGGTGCGGGTATGAGAGGTAATTCACAGCCCGTGCGCCCGGGAAGGTCGTGGTGGTTTGGAGCCGACACGGGTGTTAACTCGCGAGTCGGGGCCTGAAGAGGCCGGGGGGCAACAGCCCCGTGGTGTTTGGGAGCCGACACGAGTGTTAACTCGCGGGTCGGGGCCCGGAGAGGCCGGGGGGCAGCAGCCCCGTGGTGTTTGGGAGCCGACACGAGTGTTAACTCGTGGGTCGGGGCCTGGAGAGGCCGGGGGCAGCGGCCCCATAGCGTTCCTTGTGGCTGTAGCCTTGTGCGGGGTTGGGTGGCTAAGGGCACGGCCGCCCCCTCCACGATTATTGAAGTTTCGTGGTAGTGTGCCCTCACCCAGCCCTACCCTTTCATGAAGACGTTCTTCCCTTGCGTGCAGGTACTTGTTTGTAACGTAGTCTTCGCATGAAAACTGACAGTTTTCTAAGTGAAGCGTTGAAAACTAAGGTTTTCTGCGAATACGGAGTGTCTTTGCCGTATGGCGTACGAGCCAGTGTGGCTCTTGTGTCGCGGCACGTGACAGTGTTGGCTAATTCGGGTAGTTCGTAGCTACGTTTGGGTGCTGCCGTGAAGCGGTTGGTCTGTAGGCCTTGGTGATCCGCTTCGTGGTAGTGTGCCCTCACCCAGCCCTACCCTTTCACGAAGACGTTCTTCCCTTGCGTGCAGGTACTTGTTTGTAATGTAGTCTTCACATGAAAACACCAAGAAGCCATGTGCAACCATGAAGCGCAGGCCCTTCAGCACGAGCGGGACCAGCTGACAGCGCGGATGGTCGACAACCTTTTGTCCAGAGCACTCAGCAAGTCCGAGAGGGGAGTTCCAGACGTCAGGTGTTATTTACAGCACACCGTACGGGCTTTGAGGGGGGTGTCTGGGGGGG